TATTATCTTGATAAATGAGTAATATGGTATAATTGACCATGAAAGTATTTGATATTGAAGAAGATTTTGATTTAAGCTGACAAATAAAAATATGATATTATTGATCATGAAAGTATTCAATATTGAAGGTCAATCCTATATTATGACAAATGAGAGATTTTAAAGCTCAATTAATTCCATCTTTGCTGATCAACGGATCAAGAAATTCATCTCCCACCATGCCTTTCCTACCAATTTCTAGTCAAACCTTTTAACAGATTCAAGCAAGATCAACATCACCACCAAGCCTTAATAGTATGCAAAACAATAATATAAATTATATATATATATATATATAACGTGTATTGGCTTTAATTGAATAGTGAAAATATTGGTGATTTGGATTGTAATTTCGTGATATGCTTGCTTAATTTATATGAGAGAATCAATGTTAAAATATAGTGGCATAATTTTTAGTGTGAACTGTGAAGGCTGTGAAGGGTATAGTTGGAAGATACTCGGTGCTTCGGTTGCATTAGTATTGTAGGACATGAATTCGGAATCCAAATATTATAAGACTCTTGTTTATTGTAGTTTTTGTTATGCATGTGATTTGTGCTTGCTATTTTAGGCGCTTAAAATCAATATCATTCAATGAAAAGATTTTTCCTTCAACTTTAGGAAAATAAAAACTTAGGACAATTATCTTCTCAAAGTTCGTTAAAAATACATAATATTTTTTTCGTCAAGCTTCTTCTTCATTAAAAGGGTTCATTTGATTCTTCAATGGAGTGGCCTCCTAACAAAAAACACCACCGCCATTACTACTTTTAGTATAACAAGTATTATGATATCCTAATTTATTTATTTTTAATATTTAAGTTGAGCTTATAACTTATACTGTTAGTGGTTAGGAAGATGCAAGGTTCAAACATGAACTTCTAAACATAGAACATAACCACTCGAGTAACACAACAATTGCAATTTTATGTACAATTCCCATTATAATATTTAGAGAGTTATAACCTGTTTTTGTTAGATGCAAATTTTTTATAAAAAAATAATTTTTTTGGTTAACAATTTATATTTAAGTGAATGCCTTGCTAAATAAAGAGATGCAGTGGCAAAGTAGTACAACAAAACCCATTATTACCATGAACTAATCTCATTTGAAAAGAAAAGTTTTTGAAGTTTCAAAAACAGAGTAATTTATTTATTTTTATGTTTTATGATGTGAAATTCAAGCAAATTTTTTTGTACGTGTGTAAAGTATGTACATTTTCTAGCTGGGTTTATGGGACCAAAATAAAACAAGGACTAGACAAACTAAGGCCCAGCCCAATACCTTCTTCCATAATATATCAAACTAAAAAAGGTCCTACCGGGAGTCGAACCCAGGTCGCTGGATTCAAAGTCCAGAGTGCTAACCACTACACCATAGAACCCTTTTTGTTCAATATTTTGAAGTAGTTTAATATTATTACTTCAGTGACTCTTTTACGACGATTCATGAGATTACAATCATATCGTATTGATGTAAGAATATTATATTAAATAAGTAAATTTTAACACAACTCATTTAATAATTGTGTCAAGAATTCTCAATACTAATCCAACCCGTTTTTTAAACAGGTAAACTTGTTAATCCATTTAATGACCTGTTTATTAAAAGGAGACATTTAATATTTAATCAAACACTAAATAATAGAAAAATTTTGTCATAATTAATTCAAATATTCAACATAAAAATAAAAATCATAAGGCATAAAAAAGATTTATATTGAAATGACTTAACTATCCATATTAATTGAATTTAAACAGATAACATATTATATAGGTTATATTCACGATTACTCTTTTAACTCGTGTTGTATTCGTATCATGTTGTCATGTCGTGTTATAAATTGCCACCCCTAATTATCTGTGAGAATTGATTTTCATTAATGCTCATGTAAACAGAGTTGTCCATCAAGGTATGCTAAAAATTTAATACAATTACTACTTATAATATTCGGTACTAATTTGATTATCGAAATACACCTTATCGTTACTTTTTACTTTTATTTTTATTTTTTTGTTTTAAAAAACCCAGATTCGACTTATAATCGTACTTAAATTTTGCATCAACAATTAATAAATAAAATTAAGGCAAGGAAACAAGAAGTACTACGACCTTTAGCCCACCAAAGAAGTGCGTGCTTTGCGCTTATTGCATGACTAAGCCATCACGCGCTACAAAAATATCTAACCATGAAACCAAAAGCTAGCTAACTTATTAGAAATTGAATATTTATAAGTTGGTCACATTGATCGTGCATGCCTGCACAATGTTATTAGCTCGTACACACCTAGAGAATATATACTAAAAGACTAGTCTGATCATCGACGACATACTTAACTAATTAATCTTTTATTATTCTTATCATGAGAGATACAATCACTAAGCAATTCAAAACCTTATCAATTTAAACTCCTAATCTCAAATTCTAGTCTCCACCTAAGATTTGGGGATCAATCCTAACATTCCAACAAAGACAGATGGTTCAACCATAGAGTTACAATAAATTCATTATTTTGTGTACTATCATTGTACGTGTTGATACAAACCCGTTTAAAATAACCAACCAAAGACCAAAAAGGAGATAGATGTGGGGTTTGGAAGCATTATTGTATTTACTTGCAGTAGTTGCATGGTGTTGTCATCAGATCACATATTGGCACTCATAATTAATCAATAGTGTTTTGAATCCACCATTGACAGGTGACAGTCAGTAAAAAACTACGAGATAGAGCGCAATAGCTACTAGCATTTGCTGTCCACTGTTCAAATTAAGGAGTTTAATTTTATGAAACCCTAAATTTGTTAAGTATATCATTGTTATAATTTGAAGGTTAGAATATGATCAATGTTGGTGGTGACAAATAGGGTATTAGGAGAATAGAGGCTGATGAACTAAAAAAGAAAGTGCATTGTGTTTTGGTGTGGGCTCAGGAGTGGTTGGATGGGACACCTTTTACGGATTAGCATAGATAACTTAAATCATTCGAATTAATATTATGTCAAACTGATAAAGGGAAGCAATGAATCACAATGTTAAGAGAAAATAGTTCACAAATTTTATTAATGAATGATGAACATGTGAGTTATATACATCAGAATATTTAAAAAGTTTTGTATTTTTAGAAATGGATATGTGTCTTTTTAATTTTATTTATTTTAGTAATTAATTAACACATGGAATATAAAAATAAAGTAAAGTAATAAAATTAGAGATGACATCAGAATTTTTAGCAATTAATTAACACATGCAAGATAAAAAAAAACAAAGTAATAGAGTTAGAGATAGACACCAGAATTTTTAACAAGGAAACCACAATTGGTAAAATAGACCAATTCGTTGTGTGGGAAAACCTCGTGGACCGTGCAATCCAAAGTAAACTAATTCACTATGTTTGAAACAAAGTATACTGAATTTTGAATCAGGCTAATACCCTATCATTCTACCAAATACCAATCGTTGACAATCTTCTGGCTTTGCGACGTCCCGTCCAAAAGTACTTGACCTCAGGCTTATTCTTGATCTATGTAGAAGTGTTGCAGGTAGATTAAACAACACCCCTCAATTACTTTGACCCTTTTAAAGTGCGATCGCTTTTACTTCTGTTTTTCAATATCTAAATTCAATGTAGAAGTAGATCTGTTTTTCTCTGATCGTTGTAGATGCAAGATTTTGATCACAATCAAGATTTGAACAACACTCTAAACTCACTCTTATGTTTATGTGTGTGTTCTAGAAAGAATGACAGAGAAATCAAATAGATTTTTTGCAAAAATAATTTTTATAAGACTTTGATGAAATATGAAGTTGTAATGCAAAAGCTATACTAAACTTAGATGAATATCAAGGTTTATATAGAATATTCAAAGACCTAATCCTTCATAAAATAAAAGAAATATCGTGCATAGGACTTTTGGTATAATTCTAAACCAACTAGGAACTTTGAAATAAAACATGACAAAGTTACCTTAATATGAAACAATAGTGGTACCGATAGTCAGATGTGGAACCGGTTCCCAAAGGACAAAATGGTTTTCTTCGGATGTAAGGTTCTTGAACCGGTTCCCAATTGTGGTACCGGTTCCCACTTCACAAAATCTTGGAATAAAGTTTTGAAAACTTGGAAAGAATTCTGTTTTGGTAACATAAAGAATATATCAGGTAGGTTTAGTGTCCTAAGTGGGAAACACCTTCCTAAAAGTGTTGTTCTTTCCTGTTTTGATGATATGAGTTTACCATCTTCGAACGACCTTCCAATTCCGCATCCAATCTAGATCTTGATATAGTAATTTGAAATTACAACTCCATCAAGACTTGGTTTGACATCGAAATTTGTCAATTACAAAAATTATATCTCACATAATAAATAAAAGATAATCTGCTTTTGTATTTGTATTAATAAAGAAATCCTAAAAATGAACATCTAAAAATAGTTCAATTTGACATTGTGTCTAAAAATTATGAAAAAATAATAATAATAAGTTCTTAATGATTATATCAAGACAATTTTTTATTTTATTATATATATATATATATTATTATAGAAGAATTCGAGTTCATTTACACCTCCAATAAAAGTTACAAAATATTAAATATTTCTCCTATGGCATGAAAAAAATGTAATTTTGAGATCTGATAGAACGAGAATTGGTATTCCGTAGGTGCAGTTAAACCAAATGTGACTCAGTATTAGGTTTGCAATCGGGTCGAATCTACTAGTGCAGGTGCATGTGGCAGCTTAATTCCTAGATAGTGGATGATGATGAAGCTGTTGTGTCAGCTTGAGTGCATGGTTGGCATACCATACTACACTAACCACGCAAACACAAATCACACGACCCCTACATCTTTTGCTATATATATGTGCCATCACTGTGACATTGCTTGGAAGAGCCAGAAATATCTAGGTTTCCCCTTTTGGGACCCAGTTTATTCATTCTTCCATCACACACCCACACACAGATGGCAATGTTTTCCATTCCGTGGGTTTTTACCTTTGGCATTCTAGGTGAGCATACATATAGTAGTTACAGAGTTACAAAGGGTCTATACTTCAACTAAATTTCTAAAGTGGAATTAAAATGTTATTCTACATAGTTTATTTATTTATAAATAAATGTTTGTGTTCATAGTTGTAGATTGGAAACCTTTTAATTCTCTTTGTGCATGGAAGATTCTCTTTTTTTTTTTTTTTTTTTCCTTTTTTATTTATTATATATATATATATATATATAAATATATATATATATTCATTATGTTTTGATAACTTTCTATTCATAGTAACCATTCCTTAAATTTGCAACTAATTATGTAACATTAAATACTAATGTTATTATTAACTAACTTTTTACCTTTTTAATTATCAACAATAATGTCACATGCAGGTAATATGATCTCCTTTATGGTCTTTCTTGCTCCAGTGTAAGTTAATCCTTGTTCTTCTTCTTAATTGATCACATTTTAAGGTTTGACAGGAGGACTAACTTGAACTAAAATTTGACTACCCTTAATTGCAGGACAACATTTTATAAGGTGATCAAGAAGAAATCAACTGAAGGGTTCCAATCACTCCCTTATTTGGTTGCGCTTTTCAGTTCCATGCTGTGGCTATACTATGGTTCACTTAAGTCCGGTGCTTACCTTCTCATCACCATCAACTCAGTTGGTTGTGTCATCGAGACCATTTATGTTGCAATTTACATTGCTTATGCACCAAAGACAGCCAGGGTATGTACTTATGTTTTTAGTAAACTTGTTTGAAGATTTTCGGTTTGTGAAATATATAATTTTCTGAATTAAAAATAGACTTGTATTATTAACATTGCAGATTTCAACTTTCAAGATACTTGTTTTATTGAACTTTGGGGGATTTTGGCTGGTTCTTCTTTTATCCCACTTCTTAGTAAAAGGATCCACCCGAATCCACCTACTTGGATGGATTTGTCTTGTCTTTTCTGTGAGCGTATTCGCAGCACCTTTGAGCATTATGGTGAGGATATATATATATATATATATTGCAAATAAACAACTTTTAATATGCCTTGTCTATGTCCCCTTCATTTTCATCTACTCACTTGACATATATAGGAAAAAAATATGAACAACTTGTAATGTGATTTCACTGCTGGTTGCTGCTTTTGCTATGCAGACACAGGTGATACGCACCAAGAGTGTGGAATTCATGCCATTTTCGCTGTCATTTTTCCTCACACTAAGCGCTATTGTGTGGTTCTTTTATGGTTTACTACAAAAAGACTACTTTATCACGGTAATTGCTGTGTCTCTAGAAGATATATCCACAACTGTTCCCTTAAAATGGAGCTGTAACTCTCATGAAATTATATATCATCTACCTTTTTATTAGAATGGTCAGCCATTCACACAGTTAATCTTGCATATATATATATATATATATATATAACAATCTTTCTAAGTGCTAAAAAATGAGCTCCAAAGGCTCAATCTTGATCCTTTCTAAAAATTGATCAATTGGAGGACTAGGACTAGAACAAGTCCCTTTGTAGTAATAGTATTGGCTCATGCTTTCTAGTCATATTGAATCAGGGGCCTATAGCACTCTATTTTGGAGCCAGACATCCTTTAAAATAGAAAGTTCGATTTTTAATTTTTTTTACATGTGACCATTTATTCGATTCCTCTTTCTTTTCATTTTCATTTTTACAAACTTTGCAGCTTCCAAATATTATTGGTTTCATCTTTGGGGTACTTCAAATGGTTCTGTATGTGATATACAACAAGAAAGAAACAGAGGAGAAACTAGCTACTACTACTACTACTCTGAAGCCAAGCACCACCAAGACTTGTGAGATACTTCCAGTATGTTCCATGCCTAGCTCTGATGAAAACCATACTGATCATATCACAGATGCTTCCTTTAATGTTTAATTAAGCGAATGAGTAATTTGAATCATTAAAGTGGATCCCTCAAAGCTTCAGTGTCTTTTAATTAATTCAGTGTTTTTGTACTATCTGTGTTTATGCTAGTGTATTTCCCTAGCCAAACTCGATCTCTTGTACCTACATTTCTTGTATTATATACTTAGTAAAATACGATATGAGAAAAATGCTGGTACGGAAGCGTACGAGTATAATTGAATATTTTTTTTTAAAAAAAAAATGTTAAAAAATTCGTTTAAAAATAAGGATACGTACTTGTATAATACATTATATGCACTAAAAATTCAGAACAAAAAATTCGGCTATACACATCTCATTATTTTCTTATATATCATATATTTGTAAAGACAGTGAATAATATATAACAAATAATAAAATAAATATATTACAATTAACACTATCACAATAATCATAACAAATGTAAATTATCTAAATATAATTAATCACCATAACATGATCAATTCTTTATAAAATTAATGAAAAAAATTATAATTCAATTAATCAACTATGTTGACTAAATTAAAAATAAAATGCAACTGCTTGAACTTCTTAAGGTACTTTTGAACAAATTTCAATATGTCTATCTTTTATTCCGGATAAATGTGATTTGACTATTGAAATACCTTCATGATAGTTAGAGTTTTATTCAACATGATCCCAAAATACATCTTTTTTTTTTTTTTTTTTTTTGATAGCCTATATATTTATAATAAATGCATAAGTATATGGTGTGATACTTGTGAAAATATTTTTATATTTTACTAAAACATCAAGTGAATGTGGTGATTAACTAACTTCCAAAATAATAATAATAATAATAATAATAAAGATACTAACAAAATTTAAAAGATATCAAAACAAAACAAAAAATTTGTAAATGTCTACAAATATTAATAAAAATCTATGATTCTTCAAAATTATAGTGTTACACAAGGTATATATGTGTTTTATTACTTTGATTAAAGATTAAGCACTGAATTAACAATAATAAGAGATTAAAAAAAAAAATAGAGTGATAGTAGAACAACTGAGTAGTCACATCCTTTTCCGAGATTGCATAATAAATAGTATTATTTTGATAGTGTGAAAGAGATGGGCTATATATACCAAAAAACAAGCGATAGTTTGTCTTAAGAATGTGTGTTTGAGAAAAATATACCATTAGAAATGTGAACGAAATAAAAAAAACAATTAGGTTACCCTAAAGTATAAACACGAATTAAATGAAGGAACCAAAACCAATAAACGCGTTAAATACAGGAAAATGAAAAAAAACGCGTGTTTTACCGTATCTTTTCAAAATTCGTACGTACGCATTTAATTCACATATTATACGCGAATTTTCTAAGTAGTACACATCCTTTTAATTTTATATCACCACTTGTATTATTATTGTTGGCATTATGAAGTTTTATACTTCAGAATTACAAGAGTTATTTTCTTTATCTTTTACTGTATTATGTATGGTAATATGTATTACGTAACATATTATATGAGCAAAGTAATACCGGAATGGAATAGACATATATATATATATATATATATATATATATATATATATATATATATTACCTTATTATTGTTGGAAAATATAAAATGAACTTTTAATTATTTGGATGCTTGGCCTTGGAAAATTATAATGAAAAGAAATATATTTTTATATGTGATGTGAATAGATATATCAATATATAAATAGAGCCAAATTTTTGGTGATTCAAAGAATTCCAACCCAATTAATGGAATACAGCCCAAAACCAATTGAAAATTTCCATTTGTAGTGGAAGCCCAATTTTTTGGTTGATTCAAATACTTTAGTGCATGCCAAAATGACAGCAATTCAATAAAATTGCTGGGATTTTCATTTAACGATTGAAAATCAACAATTTTGACTTTCGTCTCTCCGGAACAAAATACACCTCTCACTATAGAAAAAATAGCACAAAAAATTGTCATCTCCCTCTCATATGCTCCCTCGGTTTCAAAATAATTCTTGATTTTTCTATTTTGAGATACCCCAAAAAAATATGTGTCATTCTAAAATTGAATGTACCTTTTTTATAACATTTTCAAAATATCATTTTAACTAAACAATTGCATTACTTATTGAACACTATTTTGTATTTTAGTAAGGATATATTTGAAACTTTACTCTTATCAATATAAAAAAAAATTATTAAAACTTCACTACCGTAAAAAGTTGGATAAACTCCACCACCTTAAAAAGTAAATCCAATATAATAAAAAACTATTAAAACTCCACTATCATAAATTCCACCACCATAAAAAGTTGAAATTCCCACGCAGAACATATATTTTGGGATAGAGGTAGCATAATATATGTGTCCGACCCGTTAATCAGGATGTGAAATGACAAATTTGATCTTATTATTATTTAATGTTAAATTAAAAATTGAAAATAATTTTTCTAAAATTACAAATATACCCTCTTCTTCAACCCCCCTCCCTCTAAAACAGACCCATTGGTTGGATGATTGTGACCCCCATGGATTGGAATTCCTGGTGTAGTGGTAATTTGGAGGGGCTAGTATTGGGTGTGAGTGGCTTTCCATAGACATATGTTGGATGTCCCATCTTGATGCTTGCCTTCACCGTACGCTTGCCTACATACATATCTCAACCCACAATCCATTCTCTGATCTCTCTCTCTTGCACTTTCCTTGATGGAAGATAAATAATGAGTATACAATAAAACATTGAATCAAACTAATATATATTTCGTTTGCGCATCAATTGATTTGGAAAAGTATTCTCAATGAACACGTACAGAACTTTAAAGCTCTGTTTGTTTTGATACAAAACGGTTCCTTCGCAGAAATTTTCTCAGGACAGTTAAACTAATCGTTAGATATTGAAACAGTTCCCACCAAATAAAAACTAATATTGATAATAATTACAGTTCGACACACACTTCACTTCTTTCCCGGTATAAAACTTTTCCATGGAAACAACCGGACCATGAAAACTGAACTTCCCGAGTGAAAATTTTCCGAGGAAACATACAGTTCGTAAATGGTAAAAAAAAGAGATAAATCTCACATTTTCGAGGGCGTAAAGAACAAAGCCCAACTGAGACACAAAGAAAGTCCCCAAACTGTAACTGTCGAGACCATCATCAACGTCTTCTTCTTATAATTGATTAGAGAATGAGCCAGAGAAGACGAGATAGAGATGATCTCGCTTTCTCTCTCTACCCCTATGTAATTTCCTATATTTACATGTGAGAGAATGATCTACCATAACCAGCTGATGGGTTTGTTTTGAGAGGGGAGAGTTTGAGAGTGAGGGGTTGAGAAAGAGGAGGGTATTTTAGTAAATTTTTTAAAAAATTAGTTTATAATGTGATATATATATTTTTGGGTAATGGCAAAAGGATACTCAGATGAAAATTACCTATTTTTTGGACAAAGACACCCCCTGAAGGTTCAAAAATGGACAAAGACATTCCTTTACATAAAAAATTGACCAAATTACCCTTTAACTGTTTAAGAAACTTTTTTAACTTTACAATTTTAAAAAAAAAATAAAAAAAAAACTTTGTATTTTTAACTTCTATTTTTTTTTTTTTTTTAAATGTTCCAACTTCTTAAAAATGTATACGTCTAAAATGAATTTTTGATTCAATACATATATTTTAAATAAATTATATTTTGTTATTACTTCTTTTTTTTTTTCTTTTTTATTTTAAAATTAAGATGCTTAATTCTTTCATCTAAAAAAAATTAATCCAATCTCTTTTCCTTAAAAATAAAAAATATAGTACCAATATAACTTTATGCATCTTAAATTATATATCAAATATTATGCATTTCCCAATATAAAAGAAAATAAGTACCAGTATAACTTTATACATCTTAACTTTATGCATGTCTTTGTTTTTTTTTCCCCCCATTGTTTTATTATTTTTTCCCCTTTGTTTTATTATTATTATTTTTTCCCTTTTATGTTGGGAAATGTATAATATTGGATTTATTATTTAAGATGTATAAAGTTATATTGGTACCATATTTTTTTATTTTTAAGGAAAAATGATTGGTTTAATTTTTTTAGATGAAAGAATTAAGCATCTTAATTTAAAAATAAAAAAGAAAAAGAAAAAAAGTATGAACAAAATATAATTTATTTGAAATATATTTATTGGATTAAAAAATCATTTTAGTCGTCTACATTTTTAAGAAGTTGGACATTTATAAAGTAAATAACAAAAAAAAAAAAAGTGAACAATAAAAAGTTTTTTATTTTTTTGGTTACTTTTTTTTTTTTTATGCATAAATTGTTCATGAAGGTAGATTGGTCTAATTTATTAAATTGTAAACTTAAAAAAAGTCTCCTAAATGGTCAAAGGGTAATTTGTTCAATTTCTCATGTAAAGGGTCTCTTTGTCCATTTTTTAACCTTCAGGGGGTGTTTTTGTCTAAAAAAACAGGTAAGTTTTATCTGAGTGTCATTTTGCCAAACCTCAGGAGGTGTGGCTGTACTTTACCCTATTTTTTTTTTTTTTTTTTTTTTTTATAGCGTTGGAGTTTTCTGAAACAGCTTAAGATCAAGTTTATGATAAAAATTTAAAATAATACATTTTTTTTTTAAATTAACCCTATATAGATATTTTTTTGGTAAAATATCCCTCCATCAACTAGACATTTATCACAACAAATACAAATATCCCTGAGGGTTAGTTTGGTGTAATGGAAAAAGAAGGAAAATGAAGGAAAGGTGATGGAGGGTAATTAAAAATTTGTGTTTGGCAAAAATTGTTGAAAGGAAATGAAAGATTTTGGAGGGTTATGTTAAAGCTTCAACAGTATTTTGCTTATCTTTCCAAAAATGGGAGGAAAATGAAGGAAAGTGAAGGAGATGGTTGATATGTTATTTGTGATGCCAAATTCGCCCTCAAGATTACATATACATACAAGTTAGCAGTTGCAGAGAGAGTGAAAGACGGCAGGCCAGCGCTGAAGCTTGCGAACGGCGAACTCGAATTGGAACAGCGGCTACGGAAATTGAAAGATATGGGTTTTGATTTTCTGAACAATCTGAAATGATATATCGATACGGGTTTTTAACTTTTGATTTTTACAGACAAATAGATAAACTGAAATATATGGGTTTTGAACTTCTGATTCTTGTAGTGCAGAGAGAGAAAGAGAAAAAGAGGAGAGTGAGGGCAAGTTCATAGTTGAGAACGAGAATAGAGATGGAGGCGAGATTGGGGAGGCTGAAATGATTTGCCTTGACTTTTTTCTTTTCTTTTCTTGTGGCCCATCATCTATGGGCCTGCCAAATGTACAAGAGACTATATATATATATATATATATATATATATATATATATATATATATCTTTTAAAATAATATAAAAGAGTATAATAGTTAATTTATTAAAATAATTCTTTCTTTTCTTTTTCTTTCTTTTTTTTTTTTTTTTTTCAAACATGATTATTATTCTTTTTTTTTTATTTTTTTTCTTTATTAATCAATTGAACATAATAAGAGATTAAAATTATCATTTTATTTTTTTTCTTTTTTTTTTTTTTTTTATAACTAATGCTATTTTTTATTTCAAAATCACGTACCAAACATAGCCTAACTTCACATTATCACAAGGGTCTTAATTGGAGAGAGAGTTAAAATATTCTAATGGTAGGTTTTTTACTTTGAAAAAGGTAATCGCAAGAATCTTAATTAAAGAAAGAGAGAGAGGTAATAATTGGCGTACCATGTTTGTTTCACATGATTTGACCTGCCACTCCCACTTTAGTCCATCCGTAACTTCACATGATTTCAAGGGTCTTAATTAGAGAGGGTGAGAGAGTCAAAATATTCTAATTATCTTCTTGCCACTTTCTACTTTTTTTAATTTGAAAAAGATGGTAGTTTAGGGCAGATTTGTTAATGAGTGGGCTAATGTTTTTTCAGGTGAACTTAATATTATATATATATATATATATATATATATTTTGCTGGGCTAAAAATAAAAAACTTTGTGGGCTCAATCTCATCCTTAAATTCGCCCTTAATAATTACAAGGATCTTAATGTGTGTGAGAGAGAGAGTGTGTGTGTCAAAATATTCTAATTACCGACAAATCTCTTGTACCTTATTACTTTGAAAAAGGTGAATGTAATTTATTACACGTTTTGCACACAAATTTATGATTTTAGGGCGGAGTTGCCCAAAATTCCCAAGTTTTGAATTCAATTAAAACCCTTGAATTCAATTAAAATTTAAAACATGATATTTTCATGCACGTGGTCCCAGGTATACGGCACAAGTCAGACTGCCAATTGCAAAAACACTAATTATATATCCTAAGTATGTGATTGATATTGGTTATGAAAAAGGAAAGAAAAAGTACCATTTGTATCACAAACAACCCGCACTTTGCTACATATTTAATAAATTAGCTTATTATTATTACACAACTTACGAGTGAAGTGTAGAAAACTTATTTAAAGTAGGTTTACAGAATATATTACATTCTTTATATGTAAAAAAAACACCTCCTAAATTTCAATTTGGTGCGTATAGGTCCTCTGACAAATTTAAACTTCCTAAATTTATTAAATTGTTTTTACTAAACCATTTTATAAAATATATAAAAATAAATAATTTTGTAAAATGATAAAAAATGATATTATTGGAGGACGCCGACAATGAACAAGTAAAGATAAAAATATAAAATAAAAATAAAAAAAATAAAAGAAAAGTAAAGATAAAAAAATAAAAACAAAAGTAAAGTGCAAACTAAAAAAAAATAAATATGCCCAAACTCCGAAAACTAGTGCACTTGATACTCAGTTTTTTATTTTTATTTTTTATGTGTAATAGTGTTGGTACGAAATAAAATAAAATAAAGAAAAAAAAATTAGTAGAAAAAATTAAACTAAAATCTCAAAAAATTCAAAACCTTGTTCTACCAATTTTCAAGGTTTCAACAAAAAAAAAAAAAAAAAAAACAAAGTATTGTGCACGTAACACCTCTATACTATGAGATTAGTAGCATATATACCCTCCTTGGATATTTTCAAAAGAGTAAAAGGGCAAAACTGGTATTACAATACTAATTTATGTCAGATTTTTTATTGAGAGGTATTTTTGCACAATATGAAAAGATTTGGGGTGTTTTTTGCACACTTTTTTCAAATAGGGAGTAAAAGTGTTATGCGGAGTATACTTTAAGGTTGTTTTCTGCACTTGTCCATTTAACTTATTAATTAAAATCAATAATAAATGAATACATAAATATATTTGCATTCAAGGGTTAATGTCGGACAGGAGACGCAGGTAGTTGAACCTAGTCCCTCCCTTGTTTCTAAATAGCAAACTCAATTTATTGAAGTGTGACGTATTGTTCAAAAGGGGCAGGTTTAAGTGTCTCCACTCAGACACAAAATTTTATTTTTTTTGAATAAAAAGAAAACACGTACACTCATTTTTTTGCCCATGTCCGGACACCCCCTCCCTTCTCCTCCCCTCCCTTAGAGGATGAGGATGGAAAGATTAACGGGGAATTATTCTATTTCACTTAATCTTTCATAATAATAAACTGTACGTTTAGGGTGGAGAAGGAAAGCGGTTTAAATTATTATTATTATTATTTGAAACTTAACTGTTTGCATAGGCCGAGCCGATTTTATTTAACAGAGGCACAGTGTTGTACTTGATTGGACCAAAAAAAAAAATTCAACAAGTATGAAAAAAATAAATTGTTTAAATCAAAAAGCAAACAAGAAAAAAAATAAATTGTAATATAATATGCTAAAATAAGTAGTGTAAGAAAACAAATAAGAACCAAAATATTGATTAATAATATTTTCAATTACAGCTATAGTACTAGGTGGGTATTCTCGTTTTGAAGCGATGTACGTATGAATTGATTTATATAAGTAGAAGAAAAATAAAAGAAAAAAGAAGGGAAAATTTTGTTACAGTACATGGATTATACATATATAAGTGAAAAAAGAAAAATTTTAAGAAAAAAAAAAAAAAAAGGAAAAGAAAAATTAGAGAACTTTTAAAGGGAAAAAAATATGGTATAATTTAAGAAGGGGGATATATGTAACTTTTTTTAAAAAAAAGAAAATTAAAGGAATTTGAAAACTTTAGGGAGGCATTATTTAAAATTTACCATACAGGTTGGAGAAGGGCGGGCGCCCGGGGAACGTGTCCATCTGGGCAAAAGTCCACACACACACCCCTTAGTCAAATGTAAAGAACATCATAAGATTCACATTTACACTCTAGAACCTATCATGAAAACCAGAGTCAGTTGAATTAATGTCCCAACCTCTATATATAAATGGAGTCTCGTAGCTATTGCTTATATATGTGCTTAATTGTGAACAATAGCTACTTCTCTCTACTTGAATATACTGCTTTGTGACTGTGTGTGGAGAGAGAGAGATCAAGGGGTTGTGCTTTAGACAAAGACATGGGTCTTCTCTCTAGTCATGGGGCTTTCGCATTTGGCCTTCTAGGTAGAAATTAATACACAGCTTGTATCTGTCACCTTATATATATATATATATATATATATATATTTTATATTTCTTGATACTTCTTATTTGCAGTGGTCGATTAGTATTGCATGATGTTGCACTGTCAATTCTATAGCCTGTACGTTATGAATAAGAAATTCTAATGCTCCGTACTTACGGACAAGTACTGTTCCTAAACTGGTACATATATATATATGGTATAATTTGAAGGCTCGACTCATAAGTCATAAGCTAGGTCAACATATGACAATATCTAGAATCATTTTCAGTCAACGAATAGTGTAGTACGGAGTAGGGACACATGCATTTTAATCATATAATGCAAGGACAAACGTACTGCATGCCATGCATGCATGTTTTTTTGGGCAAGTAACTGCGTGCATGTTTATATTTTCTTTTTTGTTCTTTCCAAACTTTAAATATTCAGACCTTGTATTACAGATAGATTGGTTCATACATGCAGATTTAACAATTTTAATAAATTTTCTTTTCCTTTAATTTTCTCTGCTGATGCTGCAGGTAACATCGTCGGGTTCTTGGTGTTCCTTGCACCAGTGTAAGACGTCTATTTTGACGTTTTTAACATTAATTCTTACAATATTCTTTATGGGATTCAAGCTAAACAATATATGAGTAACAGGGAGTACTGATTCTGAATTTTGATGGCAGACCGACGTTCTATCAAATTTACAAGAAGAAATCAGCTGAAGGGTTTCAATCACTTCCTTATGTGGTTGCCTTATGCAGTGCCATGCTTTTGATATACTATGCACTCCTCAAGTCCAATGCCACCCTTATCATCACCATCAACTCGTTTGGCTGTTTCATAGAGACCATATACATATTACTCTATCTATTTTATGCACCAAAGACAACTAGGGTATTAATTAATTAATTAACTACCAATTAATCTCTATATTACTTACTTGTAATTAAGTAGTATCTTTTCTTGATTACTCAAATGTATGGTCTTCCAATTATTGAAGTTTGGACCATTGGAATTGCAGATCCAAACCATGAAGCTGTTTATTTTGCTGAATGTTGTTGGATTCGGCGGCCTCCTTCTCCTTACTCTCTTTCTTGCTAAAGGCTCAACCCGTCTCAATATTGTTGGATGGTTTTGCCTTATTTGTTCTCTGTGCGTTTTTGTTGCACCTCTCTGCATTGTGGTACGTGGGTAACCCCTATATATATATAGTAGGATCTCTATATATGTGTGTGTGCACGTGTGTAGGCTGTAATTCTCCACTTGTTCATTCAAAATGAATATATTGTTCATTTGATGATTTTTATTTCTTGCATATCGATACATAATTTCTTCTTTTTTTGATGTTGTGCAGAGAAAAGTTATAAGAACCAAAAGCGTGGAGTATATGCCATTTCTTTTATCATTTTTCCTTACACTAGGTGCAGTTATGTGGTTCTTCTATGGTCTGCTAGAGAAAGACTATAACATTGCTGTAAGTGTATATATATATTATACATATACATATATTATTTGCACCCTAACTAGCTAATTAGTTAAAACTTCTTATTTTTTCACTAAGATTTTCTTAATTTTAACAACATTCTTTTTCAATTCATGTCAATAGATTCCAAATATAGTGGGTTTTGTGTTTGGTGTTCTCCAAATGGTGCTTTATGTAAAGTACAAGAACCCGAAGAAAGCTGACAAAGAGCAAAAGCTTCCTGAATCACAAGTCGACAAAAGTATAACTTTGGAGGAGCAAAAGCTTCCTGAACTAACAGAACAGATCATCGATGTCGTGAAGTTGAGTGCAATGGTGAGCTCGGAAGAAATGCTGGCAGTGGACTTACAAATGAAGGATATTAATGGACATGATGAGATAGTTGGAGATGAGAATGTGGCTAGGGATAACATGGAAGCTTGATTGAAGGAATGTCAACATATATATATTTACATATCCATATATGCAGTTCTGCAAGTAGTCCAGAGCTTTCTCTTGGGTCATGTGTGCCTTCATGTCTTGGCCGGTCAAAGCAATTCTCTCCGTCTTTCTTTTGTACTTTTTTCCCCTTTTTCTTTCGTGAGTAGCAAGTTCTTACTTATCACTGATTTTACACAAAAATAAAGTGATAAGAGTGTCATTGTAATACAAATAATAAATAAATTAACAGTAATTTCTCCTTCTTCAATAAATATTTATGGTAATTATGGGTCAAAAGTTTCGATATTTCATTGTTCCTTTCATGTTGTTGGATTACACACACATATGCATATAACCGTGCAATTAATTAAGGAGTGATCTTGTTATCAAAGCTTTTTGTTGACTGAAAGGAAGCAATGTCACAATATAAATTTAGAAGATAATTAAAGGAGAGGGAGGAGCGCAAAGAAAATATTTAATTTATTCAAGTACTTGAGAAAAATGATTGGAATGACATGAGTTTATATAAACTTCAAAAGAATGGGATCCTCTGTTGTATTCCAGTCAGTACTCAGACACAGTAACGTTTCGTTTATAAAACTTATGAGTTTCAACTCTCTCAAAATGTTGAAACTCAAAATATTTGATTCAAAATGTTGCTGGTTTTTACATTGGACCTGAATGTTGGAAGGACCTTATCCTTTGGTGTTCATCTCAGTGGAACAAGAAAAGCTACACCATTCACAAACTCTTGCTCTCTGCTGCTGTATATTACATGCATTTGGCTTGAAAGGAATGCTAGGGCCTTCAGGAATAGAGCCTCTAATTCTCTCCATTCCATTAATCTCATCAAGAGCTGCATCAGAGCAAGGTGTTCTTTTGCTGATAGGCCTCTGGTGTAGGGCTTGTGTGTTGCACATGGTGCAGTTGCTGTTTTGTTTTATGGTTCAATTCTGTTCCCCCTTCTTTCTCAACAATCAATATACAACACCTTCTCTCTCTTCTTTCTGTCCATCGTGTTCTCACACCACCAATTTTCAACTTTCCTTCTCTTTCTTCTTTCTCTCTCTACACAAGTTCTTCATGAGCAATCATATTTTGTTGATTAGTTGGACATTTATTATGCATTAAAATTATATTTAGTAAAAAAAATACGTTTTCACTACATTTATTCTTTGCTCTTAAAATTTATTCTCATTATATTTATTTTTCAACACAATACTCTTAAATCTTATTCTTATTAATCTAAAATTTGATAGTTATCTTAATTTTGTCAACTTATCTTTATTATTATTATTATTATTATTCTTTTGGGTATTCTTTTAGAGAAAGTATCAAAATTGGACCGATTGTACGATAATAACATATCAAATTCGTTTGTCTGAACTTTGTGAATTCAAAATTGTTTTATGTGTAATTTATTTTTTGAATAAAAACAATTTACCTTACGAACTAAGCTCTATACTTAAAATTACGGTGATATTTTGAGTTTGTCGATGGGAAAAAAGGGTAATTGGGATGGAAAAGAAGTCAAAAGAAAAAAAATACTTTAATGAATACATGAACAGAATCATGCAAAATCATTTGTGTTTTTATGTAAAAGAGAGTCCTTAGTTTCTAAATAAGGAGGGTTATTCAATAATAATCATTTGTTCTACCTTTAGTTATGTAAAGAATACAAAAATATATAATGAAAGAGTTAATTTGTCAAACATCATTATATTAAAATGACACCATTATCAACTTTTCTTTTCCATCTATAACACAAGTTGCGAGTTTGTGGGATTAACCCAAATGAGGCGACATCTTTGAATGGTGTTGTGTCTTGTTGGTTTAATTGGCAAACTATATATCCACCTGTTTTTACACTAACCTAATTAATATGAATACTTTTATTACCGTATTGTGTTCATATTGAATATTAATATTGTTTGAATACTTTGTGAACGTAGTCATAATTTAATATATCTTTTATTTTTAACAGTATTTAATATTTCTTAAATATTTCAAAATACATTGTTAACAAATTTTGAACATTAAAATATAAATTTTACTACCATATTATTATAGTATAATTGTTTTAAAATAAAAATAAAAGCTCAAAATTTATTTTAAAAAGAAGTATTGATACATATATATACACATCATAATTTAGTTCAAAATTTAAAATACATTAATGATTGTATTTAGTATTTGTATCTTATCCTACCGTATTTGTATCTTATTTTAGAAAAAGTTACCCTCTCCGTCCCATAAAAAGTATCACTTTTAGAGAACCGTAACTCTCACAAATTGAACTGACACGGTTTCCATTAACGACATGTTTTTTCGGGGAACCGAGGTACTATTATATTACCATACCCCTTCAGTATTGTACTCTTATTCCGTTTTCTTATCCTTCATGCTTCTTAATCAGTAACCAATAGAATCACTTGATTTGCAATTCAAAATACAGAGTAATTATATATATATACTCATTCATGAATGATGATTTATGGGCTGATAGTCTTCAACGAGGCGGAACTCTAGAGATATATATTCATTCATGAATGATGATTTATGGGCTGATAGTCTTCAACGAGGCGGAACTCTTAGTGGATCCCATCCACACCTGCTGATGTTTGGCGCGAAGTCCGGAGAAATGGCTTGGCTGAAAGTCTTCAACAAGGCTGACTCTCAGGGTGGGATCCCACCACACGCACATGCTGATGTTTTCAATTGTTAGACTCGTATGGAAGAATATTTTATGGGATGTTTGGTTAGAAAGAAGGATTAATGAGGGATATGAGAAGGTTAATAAAAACTTTTTTTTGTATCTAGTTATATTTTTCTCTGTTTAAAATTGAAAGTTATTTATTATTTTTATTTAATTAAATAAAAAGTGGGAAAAATAATTTCTTTTTTAGACATGCCTCGTCTATTCCTTCACTCCCTTCCATCCGCTCCAACCAAACCATGCATAAGGTTCCCTAAATTATAAGTCAATTCGAGTCTGCTTACTGCTTACCTAGCAAAGAAGAAAAACTTGGTCATAGAATTTTATGTACAACTGATGGAAAAGATCGGACTCAAAAAAGGTTATTTAATTTTGTTTTAATCATAAGCTGTTGTTGGGTTGAATGGATTGATGGTTTTTCTAACTATTGATTGATTTTATGCAATTTTTTATTTTTATTTTATTTTTACAGAGCTCAAACTCCTCCCCGCCTTTAACGATAGAATTGTTATATCATTGAATTGAACTTCTTAATGAATCACTCATTGGTAAAAAAATTTATTTTTATTATAATATTTTTGTTGAGAAAAAACGTACGAATAAAAACAAGCAAGATATAAATTGAAAAAAAAAAAATAAACGTGAAAACACTCTCAACAAATTGAGGACAAAAATCACGGAGATAAAACTTCAAAACGACTAGAAGACGAAAAAAAGTCAGAACCTCGTTATTCCGAGGTTGTCACTTCTCTATCTATTTTTTTCCGAGTGGGAACTTCCTTTTTTATACTCTCTTTCTTGTCTTCTTCTGCCGTTAATATCATGCCCATATATATGTCTCTATATAACACATGTACATAGCATTCTTGCAAGTTGCCAACTTGCCACCCACATTTATTTCACTCGCCGCCCCCAGGAAATAGTAAATACATTCTGCCCCCATTTTTGACGCTGTAACATGACTTCAAACGCCAAACGCACTACGAGTATTATTTTAATTAAAAGCATTTGTGCCGCTTTAAAATATAAAGTTGATATTGACACTCGACCATTATTTTCGGTTACAACAAAAAGTCTATACATTATATAATCTTTGGTTGTTATAATTTTTAATTTCATAATTATCTTTCTCTTTTAAGGTTTAAATTCTTAACTAAATTCTTTCAAATTCTCATTGACATTATCATCCTTCATTTCTTAAAACACAAAAATGAAAGATTTCTCTAATAAAGATGAGAAAATCTCATTATAATATTTTTTAAATATATATATTTTTATTTTGTTCTATTTTCTTCCTTAGAACGTATATTTTGAGTTGGTTTTGAACATATTATGTATTATTGTTGAATTAGACCAATCTGAACAATCAACTGTATCCTTACAAGTGATCAATCTATTAATATTTACTTTAAAACTGAATTTTATCCTTAAATTCTATGAAAAAAATAATAGATAAAATCCTTGATGAGACTGGAAAAATTATGTAAATGTCCTTCCTATTCTTCTACACTTCCTTGGACCAATAGTTCTATATTGGTCCTCTTTTTCTTTGTTGGTCCTTTTTCATTGTAAGCATGGATCTTGATTTCGTTACAGAATCCCAGTGCAAACATTATCCTTGAGATGTTCAACACTCTTCAATGTTTGGAGAACTTCCCTTACAAAAAAATTGAAATTCAAAGATTCGTAAAAAAATTATTGTTAAATAAAAGTGAAAATGTTTAAGATTCAATATAAAATGTATTTTATTAGAATAAGAAGTATTACAATTAGAAATAAATTTTTATTTAAATGAATAAAATTGATCACCTTATAGAAAAAAATAATTAGTTGAATTGAAAATCAAAATATATGTTAAAACATCAAAATAAAAATTTAAAGTATTGAAAATATGTGATCCTAAGAGTCCTAGAGGGGATATAACTTGAGATATGGCTCAAATGAATTGAATTAAACATTGAATAGGATAGGGACCCTTTTATAATTTTAATTTAAGAAAAAAAAAAGTATGGGCTCCCAAAATATATCTATATCTATACTATTATTAAATGTGTAAAGTGTTTCAGTGTTTCAGTGTTTCAGTATTTATTTATTTATATAAAAAAATATTTATTAATTGATATAAAAATAATTTTTGTAGAAATAGTTTCTATAAAACTTTTAAAATTACCTAATAAAATCAATCATATTCTATATAAAACTCTTATTTTTAGTTATTTTTTATGGATAATTATAGTTTCTATAAAACTCTAAAAATTACCTAATAAAATCAATCACATTCTATATA